GTTCGGAGGTGTATTCAAGTTAAAGGGAGACCGCAAGTTGGTCCCAACGTCCCTCCTATCCATCAGAGGAATGACCACCGTCCTAGTCCAAGACATAATGAACAATTCCGCTCATTCGGCGCACAGTCGCGACCCATTCAAGGCAAACAGATGCCCCCTCGAGGCAAAAGACTTTGTTCATTGTGCAATGGAGGAGCACATTTCCCAAGTGAATGCCCTAGATATACAACGCCTCAGGCGCGGTTTCAAAGATTAAAGGAACAGAACCGTTGTGTCCGTTGCCTCGGGGAAGGTCATTACGCCAGAGAATGCCCTTCCTCCAGGATCTGTGCACAATGTCAAGGTAATCATCACGTGTTAGTATGTACAAGAACTCTTAACAATAATCAAAAGTCCCGTGCCCCAGGGAAACCCAATTACCCGAGCAGAAAGCAAACCACACAGATAGCATTAGCTAACCAGAGTCCAGCTACTGGTTCAAATAGTGTTCAGTCAGCACTTAAACAGGCTAATAGAATTAGCGAGTCCACTCCTGTTCAGACCAATACAATGGCCACAGTGGCCTTCGCTAACCTCAGAAAGAAACCTTCAGCTTATCTCATGACCAGAAAAATTGCAATTTCAAATCCGAGAAATCCTAGCAGAGGAATTTTAGCCTATGCCTTTTTCGACCCAGGGAGTCAACTTAGTTACATTACACAGGACTTAGTAAATCGGATACGTCCACCTCAGATTTCCCAAGATAACGTTGAGATCCACGGATTTGGTGGGACTATCAGAGATCCTATCCGAATTCGTTCCCCCTCCTATGCCGTCTCAGTCCAAAGAGAGGATGGAGGTTGGGAGGAGATGGAGCTCAATTGGACTAAAGAAATTAGCACTCCATTCGAGATGGCCCAGTGGGCCTCAGAAATGCCGAAAAAAGCGATAGAGCTTAGAGAAATCCAACAAGCTATCAAGTTCTCATCCGAAGTTCCTGGAATAATGTTAGGCACCCGTCACTTTTGGAAATATTTCCAGAGTAAGACTGAAGTTGCCCCAGGACTTTTTGTCATCCAAACATCCTTTGGCCCAGTAGTGGGAGGGGAGACAGATATGAGCCCTCAGGGAGGCCGCCCGTCCCTCACAATGTCAGTTATTAGTAAGACCAATGAAGACCAAATGCCCCCCGCCAATCTCATTGAGGAATTTTGGAACCTCGAGGGCATTGGAATTAAAGAAAACCCGTCAGCAGATGACGACCAAATAGCCATGAATCAGTTAAATTCAAATATATCCCAAGACAAAGATAACCGATATCTTGTTAGTTGGATCTGGCGAGAGCCGCGTCAAGCCTTACCTAGTAACTATCGCATGGTCTACAGTAGACTCTGTTCCACCTATGGGAGTCTTAATCAGTCCCCAGACCTTCTTAGCAAGTATCACCAGATTTTCCAAGATTATTTAGATAAAGGGATGATAGAGCCCGCCCGTCGTAATCCAGACGGCCAAGAGCATTATTTAGCCCATCATGCAGTTATTACGCACAAAGTGCGGCCAGTTTTTGATGCAAGTGCCCACCCGAAGGGACAGCCATCCCTCAATGATTGTTTGTTAAGAGGACCAGTACTCCTACCAGAGCTTGTAGGACTTTTACTGCGCTTTCGATTGCCCAAATTTATAGCAACGGCCGATTTAGAATCAGCCTTTCTAATGGTCGGGTTGCACCAAACCGACCGAGAATTTGCTAAGTTCCTTTGGGTTAAAGACCCCTCCAACCCACCATTAATGGACAATATTCAGGTCTATAGATTCACGAGAGTCGCTTTTGGAGTGACTTGCTCCCCGTTTCTTTTAGCGGGAGTTATCCGCCATCACCTCAAGAAATACAGTCCAGGCCTAGGGGAGGAGATGGTCGATAGTCTATACGTCGACAACCTTCACCTAGGAGCAGAATCCTGGTCCGAGCTTCTTAACAAGTGTAGGGAAGCTAAAAGAATTTTCCTCGAGGCTAAGATGAACCTGAGGGAATTTGCCTCAAATTCCCTAGAGTCCATGAGTGCCTTACCAGCAGAGGATCATCTCGGCAAACCCGAAGCTAAAGTCCTAGGAATGAACTGGGATACCCTCAAGGATGATTTAGGAGTCCAGTGGCCTAAAGAATCAGTCTAACCCAGATCAACCCGAAGAACAGTTCTCAGTGCCTTAGCAGGCATTTTTGACCCCTTAGGACTTATTTCACCCGCTATCTTACCAGCCAAGATATTTTTCCAACAGCTTTGGGACGAAGAGCACGACTGGGATACCCCACTCTCCGAGATGGAGCAAAAGATTTGGGAAGAATTTATCAAGGGATGGCAGATTCCCGAAATTCGTCTCCCACGCCGAGTATTGTCAAGTCCTTACAAACAAATCCAACTTCATACCTTCGTTGATGCCTCCAGCAGTGCCTATGCCGCAGCGGTTTACTTGCGATCAGAGAGCGAGTACCGATCCCGAGCAAACATAATATTTTCTAAAAATCGCCTCAAGCCAAAGAAGGGAGGCAAGACCTTAACTATCCCTCGTATGGAGTTAATAGCCATATTAATAGGAATTAGAGCGAGTGATTACGTTCAGAAAGAATTAAAGATACCAATATCCCAGATCCATATTTGGAGCGACTCTCAGATCGCCCTTTCGTGGGTAAAGTCACCACAGTCACAGCCAACCTTTGTCCAGAGAAGATTAGCTGAGATTCGTTCTCATGAGGGGAATATTTTCCACTACGTCCGGACAGACTCAAACCCTGCCGACGTTGCGACTAGAGGAATTTCCCCAGCCGAACTGAAGCTACAGAAGCTTTGGTGGTTCGGCCCCAAATGGCTCACACAACCAGAGTCAGAATGGCCTAAGGAGGTTACATTTCGATTAGAGGATAGTAGTCCTCAAGAAGAAAATACAAAGTCGGTCTGTCTCGTTTCGCAGTCCAATAAATCAAGAGAAATACCACCTAATCCTCTCCTAAAAAGATTCAGTTCTTGGAGTAAGACTTTGAGAACCATGGCCTACGTCCTCAGATTTATTGGCCGTACAACCAAGAAAGAAGGTCCATCCTTCACCTTAATTTCCAAAACAGGACATTTCCAAGCATCCGACTACAACTTAGCAGAAATTTACCTTATCAGATGGGAGCAGGCCGAGTGCGCCGATGAGCTCTCTAAATTCCGCAGTTGCACAGACTCTCAGGGAGTTAAGCGCCTTCAGACTCGAATTACTAATAGTCAGGGCCCTAAGGGATTAGTCCATCCAACTCTCTTACCCAAACACTCTGAAGTCGGAAAATTAATTATTAGTCACATCCACCACAATCTTTGCCATGGGGGTGTTAGTTGGACCCTCACCGAGTATTTAAATCAGTATTGGCAGCCAGGAGCTCGCATGGCAGTCAGGAAGGTTGTTATGAATTGTCCTTCTTGTAGAAAGATGAATTCATATAAGTACGCCCTCCCGACCATGCCTCCTCTCCCATCAGACCGAGTTCAGCAAAGGCGACCCTTTCAGTCAATAGGAGTCGACTATGCCGGTCCCACCCTCACTAAGATCCAAGAAGTAAATGTTAAATGTTGGCTAGTGCTGATTACATGTCTCACCACGGGGGCAGTGTACCTCGAGCCGACCCTCGACCTAACAGCAGCCTCATTTTTAAATGTTTTCCGAAGATTTATTAGCCGTCGTGGTCGCCCAGATCGAGTTCTCAGTGATAATGGAAGAAATTTTGTCCTTGCCGAGAGAGCGATTAGATTTGCCTTGGCCTCCCATAGTGCCGAGAGCAGAATAGAGTGGAAGTTTATCCCGTCCTTATCCCCTTGGGCGGGAGGAATATACGAGAGAATGGTCGGAATGGCCAAAAATTGCTTCAAGCGATCTTTAGGAAAGAGAATTCTTCCTTATGACCAGTTAGCTACATTCACCGCAGAGGTGGAAGCTACCCTCAATACAAGACCTTTGACTCACACTTCAGACGAGGAGGGAGAGATACTTCCTCTTAGACCAATTGATTTTATTCAGCCTGGAGCAGTTCTCCATTGTGACCCTTTGAGTCCAGAACAAGATAAACCGAGACCACTACCCCATGAACAGCTTATCGCGTGGTGGAAAGCCACCCTAGAAAATTTAGATAACCTTTGGATGAGGTGGAGGAAAGAGTACCTCGTCACCCTTCGTGATCGATCTAAATGGGATCACGTGGGCCCTCGTTTACAAATCCATTCCGCTCCCAAACTAGGCGAAGTCGTCCTGGTAGAGAATTTAATGCAACCCAGAAATGAATGGACCTTAGCTAAAATAGTAGAATTGAATGGTCACCCAGGACCAATTCGGAGTGTCAAGCTACTAATGCCTAACGGCCGGATTTCCACCCGTCCTGTCAATAAAATATTTCCGCTAGAGGCGAGTCCCATTGATATTGAGACAAAGAATGAGCCTCCGGCTATAGAGCCGGCAAATCCGCAAGATGAACCAGTTAGGGACAAGGAACTTCCAACTCAAGAGGAAGACCCAACTGTTATAATACCAGAGCAAAAAGAGTCCGAACCGGAGCCTCAGGCACTAGAATACACCCAGGAATCAGTTCAGAAAGAAAACAAAGAAATAAAAAATTCAGTTTCCAAACATGCCATGATTACCCGTAGGCGCGCAAAATTAGTACAGGCGCAGCTAACCATTGGAGTTATTTTTCTATTATCCCTACTTACAGCAGTAGGTAATTTAGCCGCCCCGATTTGCGATGGATGCCCGTCCTGCAAGGGATGTTTAGTTCATTGTAGCAAAGCGGGAGTGAGTATATTTGCTCCAGATAAAATCAGTAAAATTCAGATTTGTTGCCCTGGGAGCTGTTCAGTTCTCCCCGCACAAAGAGAGGTTACCCATTATTTGCCCAAAGATGTATTGGTGAATGATTACACCTGTCACGCCAATTTTTGGGATACCAACCACGAAGAGCCCTTTGAAGTCACGGCCAAGTGTGCCGCCTTTAATCCATGTCAGTTAGTAAACTGTTATTTCTGCCTAGACCTACTAGCAAATCCAAGTTGCGATTTCAAGATGTTTATTTTCGTCCTTGTTTCCATAGCTTTTCCCTCCTTCCTTATACTCAGTTGTCTGTGCGGTGCCCTTCAGCGAATATTCCGACCATTTAAAGCATTCATAGGAGTTTTCCGGTCCGTCAACAGATGGGGGACACGAAGTGGAGAATTAGCCGTGGACAAGGGAAGAAAAGTTTTAAATAGTAAAAAAGCATTAGTAAAAGAAAAAGCTCATGGAGCCAAGAAAAAGATACAGAAAGAGAGTAAGAAGCTCAGTGAAGCGAGTTTAGCCCGGTTAGCTAAATATGGAATCACCCTCATAATTTTTACACATATAATCTATTTAGCCTCAAGCGACACCATTTCAGTCATGTCCGAGTCAGAAAATTGCCGAATTAGTAATAATACCAGAATTTGTTCAGTTTCAAGCTCGACCACTCTTACTCTATTACCAACTGGCCAACCCACTAATCTCCTCATAAAAGATGAAAAGGGAGAAATTTTGGGGGCCCTAACCTTTAGTTTATTGAGCTTGACCCTCAATTGCAACCCTAAAACATTAGCATTCTTGAGGAGTTACCGAATTAATACAAGATCTGTTTGGCGCTGTCCTACCACAGGTTCTTGTACCGGTAGCTTTTGTTCCAATGTTGGAGCAAACACTCATGTCCCCGAGGTGGTAGAAGTTATGAAAGAGCCAGGAGCAAGTGGGTGTAAGGAGTCGTCAGCCCTTTGGAGTAAAGGTTGCGGACTCCCGACGGCAAGCTGTCATTTTTATAGATGGTACGCTGTTCCCACAAGTTTGGACCTTTTCGAGTTGTTCAGCTGCCCTACCTGGGATTTTAACATAAAAGCTATGTTTCAGCTCACAGCGAGCTCCCAGACATACGAGGAGACCGCCATCCTTCAACCAGGACTTACCCACCACTGGCTGAATACCTCAATTACACCAATTGCAGTGACTAACCCGCCATCTCCGACTCTAAGTACCCCATTCCTCACCAACGGATTTTCAGTAGCCCTGGGGCAAGACGTCCCTCGAGACTTGAAATGTGCCGACGCCCAAAGTGCCCTAGGGTTTGGGTGCAATATTTCAAAAGATGCCTGCCGAGAATGTCACCCCATAACAGACGGGTCAGTTGAGTGCCAGTGCCGTGAGTTCGACGGAGAAGCTATCCTAGCCGATCCGGAGAAGCGGCTACCCTTAAGCATAAACAAAAATATTTCTCTCAGAAGGAGAAACAGTTCAAGTCGAGCAACCTTATTCACCTATACAAGTCCATTTCAGAATGTCCAATTTCAAATTGGTCAACGAGATTACCGAATCAACCTGTAGGGTCATTGTAACGAGCATCGGAGGCTGTTATAAATGTACTACAGGGGTTCAGATCAAGCTCTCATGTTTCACCAATTTTGGTACCGCATTAGCCCATATAAAGTGTGACGATGGTATCAGCCTCGTCTCCCGATGCTCTAAAGAGGGCATTGAAAGTACCACTAATTTCGCATACAACCGATCAAAAATAGATACTATGTGTAAAGTGAATTGCCCTGGAGGAAAGACTCCACTACAGTTACAAGCCCAACTTCTCTTTATCCCGATAAAATGGAGATTAGATAAGTCTATCCAATCAGTTCGGGGAGAAGCACCCTCCAAATTTAACATAGATTTCATTAAGTATCACCCCTTCTCCTTATTTTTATCCGCATTTATCCCAAGCATTCAATTTTTAATCCCTCTTATCTTTATTTTTATCATTATTTTAATTTCTATAGTACTACGGTATAAGCTCAAAATGTTGAGCAAATTAGCATTTTTTCTTCCCATTATTTTATTTAGTCTTTTTCCTGGTGGGGAAGGGGTCAGAGACCCAAAGCACAAAGTTTTGCTAGCCCCCGCCAAATTTTTTCAAAAAATTTATTTATTTAAAGTAATTTGTTTAAGATCGCCAGATGGCGATATTTTTTCCAAGTCTGAGCACAATAGAGTGCGTTTCCAATGTTTATCTCAAAAAATTCCTTTACAAAAATTCTTTGGTAAAAATTCGCCAGATGGCGATATTTTTCTCTTAAAGTTAGAGAAGAGCACAGCGCTCAGCCAATGGAAAGAAGTGGGCAAGCGCCCTGACAAAAAGTTGTTTTTACAAAAGGATGAGCGCCAACAATTTGGGAGAATTGGCTTTCCTATTGTAAAAAGAGAGACGAAAACACTTAAGTGGCCAGATGGCAAATTTTTGCCGAAGGGCGGGCATACCATTGGTTGCCCATCAAATCCTCCTCCAACTATTTCCTTACTTTTAGCCCAATTCATTTATAAAATTTTCCAAATTATTTTTATTTTGTTTTTTAAAAAATATTTTTCAATTTTTCCAATGGCTCAGCGAAGCCTCCCACCGCCTTTATTAGCTGGGGAGACCAGTGAGGAATATTTAAGTAAATGCCAAAGAATGGCGTATAGTCCTGAACATCCCAAGAGGGAAGAGAATTTAGCCGAGTATCTGATTAGAATTATGGGCCCAGTCAACTGGGATAATTTAGAAATTAAAAGAATGGCCGAAGGGCTTATTTTTTTAGTTTGGGATAAACTTATGCTTCGAGAGCAACCTATGCCGGTCAATCGTCCGGTTCTATCGAGACCAGCCTCCATTGAATTAGTTGAACCCTACATTAGTGTAGAAAAGCATTTTAAATTAAAGGGACAGCCCTTGAAGCACCCGAGCCTACCCTGCCTTGTAGCGGAGGGCGGCGTTAGAGGTACCACCCGTAAAAGCAAGAAAAACTCTAGAATGGTTGGCCATAGGTGCTGGCGAAGCGGACAGGTTCACAGAGACTATATTCCATTAGAGAAGGTTATTTACCTGCCGGAGGGCCCAGCTAATCCACCAGAAACACGCGCACCCACACCACCACCTCAGCCAGCTTTAGAACAAGTCGGCAAAAAAGACGAGGAAATTCGCATTGTAGCCCGCGGAATTAAAACACTTACAATAACATTCCTTATTTGTGCTCTGTTTTTCCCCACCGCCTTTGCTATAGAGCCGACTTTTGTAGAGAATCACGATTTTTGTTTGTCTCCTCACCCATCGCGATTTTTCTCCGTGTTTCCTTACCTTATGACAGCAAATTTCAATTTAGAAAGCTTTAAAATGTCTAAACAACCATCAACTAAGGAGGCTCGGGAGTTGCGTAAACAACGAGAGAAAGCTTATTGTCAGCAACTCGGAAAGCCAGTTACTTTAGAGGATTTTGATTTGATGAATGAATGGTTGGATACAGGCAGCGAAATTGTTCCAACTACGAATGAAAGTATTTTGGATTTTAATGAGGAGCAACCAGCAGAAAATACTTTAAATTATGAAAAAATTGTGGAGCAACAACCACCAACAGAGCAACAGCCATTTTACTCTATTTTGAACCCACCTCCTGCGCCTCCTACAACCACCAACAAAGACAACCATCAAGGTGAAAAGCATGTCCTGCAGCAACAAGCACAAAAACAACCAGTTGGTTTGGAGACCGGTAAGATTAATGCTTTGGGGGGAGATGAGGAAGAAAATTTAAAAGAAAAACAAGAAAAATTAAATTTAGAGCTCATGAGACAGCGTGAGCGTCGCAAGGACCAAGAGCGGTCCGAACGGCGTAAGGCCGAGGCAAAGGCCGAGAAAAGACGTGAGGAGGAACGTCAGGAGCACAGAGCTCTGATGAAAGCCATCCTTGAAAGTTTGGGTAAGAAGCCCACTGAAACTAAAAGTAATGAGACTTTACTTCCAGGCCCGAAACCCCAAGCCGCACCAGCCGCCGTTCCGCTCAGCCATGTGCAAGTACGGGCTCCAGTGCCCCCTAGTTCCCAGCCATCATACTCCGGTCGAAAGCGACCATGGGGTCAGAGCACCTCGAAAGCCCCAGCAGAACCTCTCCGTATTCCAGCATCCGCAGCGGATGTTGAGAAACATCTAAAGTTTGTCCATCTCCATTCTGAGTGCATTATGGAATCAATAAAATCTGCGTATGGGCATGTGGACGAATCCGTTATCAGGTCTCAGAATCCCATTTTCGTGCAGCATGTATTGGCGATCGAGGCCGCGGCTACCCGACTGAAGAAAACGATTAAAACCGCGTTTTTTGAGTTAAATATTGAGCCTTAGAATGTTGTAAAGGCTGGCGGGGGGAATGTGCGCAAACCGCACAAATTTTACTTAAAATTTATTTTTTATTTATTCTTCACTTTTTTCAATAAACTCCGCCCCCGCCGGCCTACCAGTAAAAATTGACAACTCCGGTTGTCACTTGCTAATTTTGTTAAACTTCGATATATTTTGCTCCCCCTCATATATTTGGCTATTTTTAATTTAAATAAATTTTCTTCTTTTTAAATTGTTTTTTATTTGAGTTTGGGGTTATTGGGTAGGAATTAAATTGCCATAGTTGGCACAAACCCAATGTTGAAGTGTTAATTTAATTTTTAAAGGTTAGAGAGTTAAAGAAATTTAATTAAATATGGAAAAATTCAATATATTCCACGTATCTTACCAATACCCCTGGCTCTCAAAAACTATTTTTTATCTCTTAATGCCTGCCTGCTATTGAAAACCGAATGTCTAAAAGTCGTATAATTTTGTCTACAATAAAACTGTCGAGGCTAGAGAAATTGAAATAAAAATTCAATTAGGGGAATTTTGTATAGCCCTAGTAAATACATCTTTTTGTTATATTCTTTTTTATATTCTTTGACATTATAATAATAATTTTATTAATATTGTATTAAATAATTCTAACATAAATATTTGTAAAATTATTTGAAAAAATTCTTTAGGACTTCAATCCGTATAAATATAATTTTTAGAGAATACCCTTTATCCCCCCAATTTTTCCAAAACTTTCAAAATGTTTCATTGAAGTGTTATATTTTTTGAGTTCTGTAATGAACGTTTGTGGAGCTAGTGAAAATGGTAATAATATATATAGCACTGTAAATTTATTTTCTGAAAAATTCCATCAGCTTTGCTCCTAACTGGCCGCGCGCATACTTGGGCGTGCCCTAAAATAAGCCTAATTATTTTTAAAATTACGGTATGAGAGATATAATGAGTGATCCTTTTTGAATTGCGGAAAGGAGTGGTGGAGAGTATGGGGCATTATATCAGGGATACATATGGGTGGAGTTTACCTAGTAAAGGGACTCTGTGAAAATATTTTCGGTATTGGATATCTCTCTCCAAATTCTCTGACCTCCAAATAAACTGATATCTCTCAAAAACTCTCACTTCCGCTACTCTCTAATACTCTAATATCCCCGATATCTCTCAAAGTTACCCTTAATCAACCTCTATAAATCGTACAAATCCTTATATATTTATGGACTAACTATGTTAGACATAGAAATTTTTTCCACGATTTTTATTAGACATTGTTGAGAGTGCCTCTCCATTGCCTTACTGACTGTTGGACATTGACAAAAAAATTCATAACGCTTTAAGCAATGAATCTTTAATTGCCAAATGATTTTCTATTTCTCTAACCTCTAAAAATTTTAAATGAATGCTTTAAAAATTCTTGTGATTTTTAAAACATTTTCAAAAGGAATAGAAAATTAAAAGTTTTGTCAATGTTTTCTGCCAAATTCTGCCAAGCCTGGATACAATCTGTATCTCTTGTTCAGTGATGCAAAAGTTCCAAAATTTCTCTGGAACCGGTTCCAGTTCCGGAACCGATTTTTAAATTTTGGCGGTTCCAGTTCCAGTTCCGGAACCGGTCTTGTTTCAGGCGTATAGGTCGGCCCATGTTAGTCATTAATTTAGAATTTTTAAAATTTTTAGAGGTTAGAAAGTTTGATAAATTTAATCAGGCAGAAAAAGCATTTAATTAATTCACATGACTCTCAAAAAAATTTATTTTCTTTACTCAATGCCTGCCTGCTTAAAGAAAAATCGAATGTCTAAATGTCGTATGATTTTGTTTACAAGGCTAGGTAAATAAAAATATAGAGGGGGCATGCCTCTCAATTCAGTGATGAGGAGGGGGGGGGGGAAAGTGGAGGGATGGGGGAGAGGAGAGGGGACTTAATAAAGGATGGGGGGTTGGCAATTTATAGAGGGGGGCATGCTCTCAATTCAGTGATGAGGAGGGGGGGGGGAGTGGAGGGATAGGGGAGAGGAGGGGGGACTTAATACAGGATGGAGGGTTGGCAATTCATAGAGGAGGGGCATGCCTCTCAATTCAGGGGGGGGGAAGTGGAGGGAAGTGGAGGAGAGGAGGGGGGACTTAATAAAGGGTGGGGTGTTGGCAATTTATAGAGGGGGGCTCTCAATTCAGTGTTGAGAGGGGGGTTGTGGAGGGATGGGGGAGAGGAGGGGGGACTTAATAAAGGATGGGGGGTTGGCAATTTATAGAGGGGGGCTCTCAATTCATGTCTCTCAATTCATTCTAAGGGACTAATTAAAATGAAGGGGATTTGTTATTCCTTGACATTATGAAAGAAATTCTTAAGTGTATTTTATTAAATTATTTAAAAATAAGTCTATGAAATTCGCTTTAGCTTTTAAATTATACAGGGTGCGGCAAATTAGCGGCCGCTTTTCTTTTGGCTATAACTTTTTTCATTTTGAATGAAAATCGATAATTCTTTTTTTCCTGGATTCCTAATACTCTAAGAATTTTTTTGATACCAAATAATAGGAATTTTGTTCACAGATTGTAAAGATAAGCCGGTCCAAACATTTAAAAGTATCAAAAAACATTTTTTCTGGTCAAATTTTAATTGATCATAACTTCGTCAAAAATGTTTCAATCCCGATGATTTTAGTACCAATCGACTCGTCTCATTCAGGAGCATCGAAATAGCTTATAATCTCATTTTTGAAAATTTCACTCAAAAATTTTATATTTTCCAAAATTATTTTAATTTATCATTCAGTGAGCCATATCTCGGTTCATTTATGTGATAGACCACTGATTTTGATGTCATTCGAATCAGATTGAAGAGCTGATTCGAATGATATATAAATTTCTCATATCAAAATAATAGCCTTGAATCCAGGCCAGCTTTTATCCAAAAAATTTTGCTTAAACTTTGAGAGATGATTAATCAGACTAAACTATAAAATTTAAAGGCGATTTTGATATCAAAAAAATTCTTAGAGTATCAGGAATCCAGGAAAAAAAGAATTATCGATTTTCATTAAAAATGAAAAAAGTTATAGCCAAAAGAAAAGCGGCCGCTAATTTGCCGCACCCTGTAAAATTAGGAAATGTATTTTATTTTCCCAATTTGCCTAAAACTTTTAAAAAGTTTCATAGTTGTTATATATATTTTGTGAAGATCGTTTATAAAGGTGGAAATAGGAATTTTGAGAATATTTGAATTTTTTAACTGAAGATATTCTTAAAATTATAATTCGAAAAATTTATTGAAAAAATATTTAAGATTATGAATTTTATTTATATTTTTCTTTCTAAAATTCTCGTTTTGGCAATTTTTGTAAACTGTGGAAAAAATGGCGAAGGAAGCAGTAGTAAAGGAAAATCTGATCCTAAAGGGAAGGGGATCTGTGAGGAAGCTCCTGAAAATAAAAATATAAACGACAATTTTGATTTTGACTTTGGTAAATTTCATTATATTTGAACTTTATCATAATTGACTTTAATAGACATAAACGATTTTGATCCTGATCAAACTCCGCATTATTTTGAAGAGCAAACAAATTTGTATCAAGAATTTCAACAATTCTTACAGAATCCGCCAGATATTGAGCAAGGAAATTCCGACAATGATCAGGAGGCTGCTAATGAAATAGATAAATCAGGTCCGGTCACATCTAAAATGCCATGATCCTCTAACGGTGCATTTGAACGTGTAGTCACTAACCATACTCTGAGTAATTATTTCAACCTCTAGCTAAATGGGGTAATTAATTGAAAAGGGCAATTATTTGAGTTTTAAATTTGTGAGTTCGGTAGGACATTTGAATGAGGGTAATTTTTGATTCGAAAGTGTCCCTTGGATTAATTAATCGAAAGTGTCCCTTGGAGACACTGTCCCTTGGAGACACTGTCCCTTGGAGACACTGTCCCTTGGAGACACTGTCCCTTGGAGACACTGTCCCTTGGAGACACTAAAAAAGTGTCCCTTGGAGACACTAAAAAAGTGTCCCTTGGAGACACTGTCCCTTGGAGACACTAAAAAATGTTGCTATTTAATTCCTAAGGCCTTGCTCGTATATAAAAAAGTATCCGAGATTAAACCAAACTGAATTTTAAATGCCATGTGAATTTTAAAAAAGAAACTCGATTTTAGATGATTTATGCGAAGAAAAAAAAGACGCTATACGCTGTGAGTTATTTTGATTTTCATAATTATAGGAAAAAGGTTTTTCATATTCTTAGGGTTTGGATACAGTCCAAGGGTGCGGTGCGGTTACCCTAGTATAACACAAGAATAACAATAGAATAGAATAACATGTCTATCCGAATACAAAATACAAGAATAGTGAAGGTGACTATTGGTCGGCTCAATTAGGTTAGCGGTTCCGGGTATCCGGAACCGAGAAAACCTCGGATATGAAATTTTCGGTTCGGATATCGGTTCCGGTTCCGGATATCCGGAGATTTCCCAGAACCGCCATCCTTACGGCCTAAGTGCCGGCCAAGCCTGATCGACTTTTTTTATTATACCCACACATACCATACACAAAGAAAATGTTTTTAATATTTAGTCAAATCAGTTATTTGGGATTATTTTACCTGCTTCAAAAAAGATGGCGTTCGATATGCTTCCTGTAATGAAAATTGCGATTATGTAAAAGAATATCCAAACAAATCCTCTTCAGCAAATTTTGAGAGGCATCTTAAAAAACACAAAGAGAAATATGCTGAATTCCTCAGCAAAAAGGGTAAGAGCTTTATTTGCTAAGAGCTTTGTTTCGCCCTCGGAAAATTTTTCATGCTGCCTAAAAATTTGGAAATTGGCTCCTTGGCTTTCCAATATTCTCTCTCCAAAATTTTAGTTAAAAACCTAAGGCTCTTGGTAATACCAAGGCTGGTCCCCCCTTTTTTTCCTTTCTATTTCTTTCAATTTTTTAAACTTTATGGCAAATTATATATCTTTCTAAAGAGCTCTTCGAGCTGAGCCGAAAGGTACTGAATTCAT